CCTATAATGAAAAGATATATATATATATGTGTGTGTGTGTGTGTGTGTGTATAAATGAATCACTATGCTGTATACCAGAAACTAACACAGCATTGTAAATTGACTATATTTCAATTAAAAGAAACTATATATATATAGTATCTGGTAGAGCAGGGGCCTTGGGAGACATGACCTCATATATTCTGGTTCCCATCTAATTATTGTTTCATGGTGTGCCAAGCATATACCAGGTGCTAGGGATGCAAAGATAAATAATGCACAGTCCCGATCCTTAAGGAGCTCAGTCTAACAGAAGTATACACAACTAAACACAATAGCGTGTGATTATTGTCATCGAGAGGAACAAACTATTGAGAGATAGAATAAGACAATGGGAATGTTTGGATCTATGTCAATGGGACACCTACCTCATTTGGGAGAAGCGATCAAAATGGATTGTGCAACTCAGCAGCTGGCAAGACGCCCAGGCTTCTGCCTTGTGTGTAGCACGTGCAACATACATCCAAGCACACAGAAGCCGAAGGCCTGCTTTCCTCCTCTGTGGCTTGCTACACTTAAAAAGTTGCAAGCTAGTGAGCTTAAATTACAAATAGTTATATCTACTTTCTAATGGCAAAAATGAATTAGCTATTTACTAGTTCTGAATTTATGACTCCCTTCGTGGGATAGTCATCTCTCTTCTTCATCCTGTAAATACTTCTAAGATTTTTATGTGTTTTCTGCTAACATTCAAACAGTATTCTGCCTATTTAGAGATGCTCTCAGAGAAGCAGAGCTAGAGATCTGATGAAGTGCCCGTAACCTCCCTCAGCTCTGGACTGCAGGCATGTGTGAAGGTATCAGACAGCACACAATAAAATGGTAGGTGACTACTGTCAGCTGATGTGTGCGTATTGAATGTAAATAATCAGCTGATGTGTGCATGTTGAATGTATATAGACAAGTTTGTACCTTTTTTTTGCATCAAAGCCCTCTCTTTAAATAAAGCCTGATATCAAATACAATAGACACTGCCCCGTAGCCAGGGCAAAGGGAGGAAAGGAGGCAGACACAGCATGTCTACCACTCAGGCTGCCCCTCAGGGCAACACAGTTTGCAAACCTCAGATATAGGGAAGAAGTTCCTGGATAGGCGCACCTCGGGGGCGAGGACGGTGGGAGGCACAGGTGTGGGCACCCATTGCATAAACTACAGATGCGTTGGATCTAATTCAAATAATCATTTTTTATATACTGACATTTGTTCATGTATTTATTTGGTCAGTTACTTATATCCCCGTGTTCCAGAAACGATTTGAGATAAGCTACCAAAATATACAAAACAATAATAGATAGAAGGCATCTAAGAGTAAAGGGAACCAAGAGTACAGTTCATACACAAAGAATTACCACAAGATGGGCCAGAATTCACCTTCAAGCTTCCCACCAACCAAAGCAAAGGGGGAAACACAACCAGATAGAAAAATTAGGTCCATCTGTGTGAATGAACTCCCTACAAGGAAGAAAAAACTGAATTCTCAGGGATCTCTAATTGCCGATGGGGTTTGAATTAGGTTTTTTGCACAATAACTTAGACATAACTATATGCTTGAAAAAATTTCAGGGGAATTATTGCATCTCTAAATATGTACAGGTCTTTCCTACTATGCACAGTTAAATAATTACACATGCCCTTCTATTTTTAATTTCCTCTAGACATATAATTATACTCTCCCAGTTTTTGACTGAGGAATGGTTATTAATATGTGAAGCTGAGACATGTTATTCAAATTTTTTTTAATTACAAGTGTATGTTAGGATGAAAGTGAGGGTAACAGCGACCTAGCGAGTAATTGCAAGGTACTGTGAAAGCAGTGAAGTGCGGGGATAGAACAGCTTACACATTCACTGAGAATATTCAACAGGGAAAAACATCGCAGAATAGGTCGAATTAAAAAGGCTACATGGGGGAAGTGACTCTTAGGATGAAACTTGAAATATAGCATTTAAATACTTGAGAATAAGTGAACAGCTACGTCAGATGAAGACAGCATAAATGAAGCCATGAGTAATATCTAAGATGTTTACTCTTAACTTTTATTGTTCCTATTTACCGACTTTCATAGAGAGGTCATTTGTTCTTTGAAAAACAGTATGGCCTTTGTTTGTAAACTTGCAGTTTTGTGCCACGACCCAGCAATTCCACTCTTCGGTATGTGTTCAAGAAACACTTCTGTAGCTATAGACCAGAAATAGACACAACGTTATAAGCCAACTATGTTTCAATAAGAATAAAAGTATACAAAAAAAAGAGGAATCCTCCTGTCCATGTACACCACATACAAGAATGATCCTTGCAGCACTGTCCCCAAGAAAAAGCTAGAAAACAGCCCAGATACCCATTGACAGGAGAGTGGATAAACAAACTCTGGTCAAGTCACGGTGGAATATTATACAAAATAAATGAACCACAGTCTCTTGCAACAACACAAATGAATCTTAGCAATATATTGCTTACAGCAATACCTTTTAATAAGGTAAAGACAACTCACATATAAAGATACAGTCAAAAGAGAGGCAGAACAAGGGAGTCAGGGTGGTGGTGTGACCAGGAGGCGGGCTGGGGCCCAGGAGACCACACAGAGAGGCATGCTATCATCAAGGTTCTGTTTTCATGTTGCTGGTGAGCCACAGGAGTTTATGCCTTAATAAAAAGAAACTATAAATTAAAATGCTTTTAAAAATAAATAGTTAAATAAAAGGGGAACCGTGATGAGTATATGTCTTGAATGAAAAATTATGACCAACCCAGTATCCTGTGTAGCTGAGGTAAAGCAAAAGATAAATATATAACCACAAGGAAATACTGCTAAAGGTAAACAATGATTGCCTTCAAATAGTGTAGTTAGTGAACTGTACTTCATATCTTTATTTTCCTTATTTTCTAGTTTTTCCACAATGAGCATATGTTACTTGTTTAACAGAAAAAGACGACTAAAACAATTTTAAAATATTTTTAAAACCAAAAAAGCGATCTTATGTTTACACGTAATAGAACAAGTAATTCCTTCATATCACCTAATACCTAGTCCTTATTCAAATTTCCCCAATTGTCCCCAAAGTGGCTTACTAGAATTAGGATCCAAACTAAGTTGAGCATTGCATGTAGCTGTTATACCCCCAACCCTTAGTTTTTTAAATAGACATCCCTCCCCACTTTTTCCTAAGCCATTGATGGGAGGAACTTGGGTCATATATGTTGTGAAATGTCTCACATTCTGAATTTGGCTGATGCTTCCTCAAACATTGGTTACCTTGTTCCTATATCAATCAAACTGCCTTAAAACAGATAGTAGATCTAAAGACTGAGTAGATTCAAATGTAGTTATTTTATGCTTTGTAGGTGGTACCATGTACTTCCTTCTGTCTCATGCCAGGAGACTCGTGGTGCATGGCTCTCCCATTTTAGAAGAATTCTGCTCTTCTCATTAGTAGACTTATATTACTAAAAGATTGTAGTCAGTTATCATTATATTTTTAATTTCATCAATAAGAAATTTGGGGAAATTGTTTTCTCTCTTGTCATTTAAGTAGCTACATAATATTCTCAATCTTGCCTCTTGACCTGCAAAGCCTAAAACATTTACTAAGCTGGCTCTTTACAGAAAAAGTCTGTGACTCTTACTCTAGAATACTGCTTTATCTGCCTCGAGTGAAACTTTCATGCAATGTATTTTTGGAACACTTAATGGGAAAATTGTTGGGACTTCTCTGAACTTCTGTACTGTCTGATTCCACTTGTATGAGGTATCTAAATCAGTCAGATTCACAGAAGCAGGAAGTAGAATGGTGGTTACCAGAGGCTAGAGGGAGGGGGAGAAAGAATTGTTTAGTGGGTATAGAGTTTTAATTCTCCAAGATAGAAAAGTTCTGGAGTGTACGTTACACATAAAAGTTGTTAAAAGAGTAAATCCGAAGAGTTCTCATCACAAGGAAAAGGGCTTTTTTTTTTCCCTAGTTCTTTAATTTTGTATCTATATGAGATGATGGATATTCACTAAAGTTGTAATCAACTCATGATAAAGTGAAATCATTACGCTGTACACCTTGAAACTTAGTACTGTATGTTAATTATATCTCATAAAACTGGAAAAAAATAAAATGAAACAAAAAAAGAATAAGTTCTGCAGATGTGTTGCACATCAACATGAAGATATTTACTAATGAACTGTACATTTTAAAATGATTTGATTAAGATGGAAAA